CAAGTGCTCATGAGATGGGGCTGCAGAGGTTACTGCTCTTGTCTAAAGGCGCACTTGAACACCTACTTGTCCAATTTCTCCGTTGGTTGAAATTTTTGTGGCGGTTTTTTTTTTCAATTTTTGTTGTCTCCACAGCGCTGCTTGGCTCCTTCCGATGGTTTTTTTTCTTTGCAATTTCCGAGAGTGGGAGCTTGTGAACGAGAAGGCAACAATCGTTCACCGCCTCATAGGCTAGTTTACAGCCTTGTTGCTGATTGCAATTCGCAGGTCCTGGTAGCCAAGACGCCGACGTGTCGAAGTCGGCGCAGCCGTTGTTGTAGTCATTTGGTTCGTTTTCACTCTTTGTTGTGATGTGTTTCGGTGAATATACAAATGAAATGTGTGCGATTGGCCCTAGGTGTAAAAAAAAATAATGAACAGAAGTGTGAATGTGGGATTTGAGTCTGGAATTATGTCATTGAACTTGGAAGTAGTTTTCTCATGGCTAGGAGGGAATGTTCACGAGTGTAGCTCGATAAGGATTACTGGTCGCAACTCTTCTTCAGCAAATGTGCGTTTTGTGTGAGCAATCGGTATTTCAAATTACTTTGTCACAAGGTAACTGTTTTACCGCTTCCTTTGTTTGACGAATGTAGTTAGTGAGATAGCCTGTCCATGCTCCAGTCTGTTTTCAATTTTCGCCGACTCCCTACTAGGCTCTTGCATCCCTAAACTGCATTGCTTCTTTTGTATAACTGGTGTTTGGTAAACTTAAGCTCTACCGCTACCTTTTCCAAAGAAGCACTTCGCCGCAATACGTGGGCTCTTAGTGATCATTTGTTTCAGACCTCTGTCCTTACTTTAGGTCACTTGGTTTTACTTACACCTCGACTTTCTTTCTAGGCATTCCCGGTTTATCAGAGGATCTCCGTAAGCAAGTCGAATCAACGCGGGACGCTGCGTTTGTTTGCCTTGAGCATGTGTGTCGCCAGCTGTGCCCAAGTGCACCTCGTGGTCGTGCTGGGCAGTTGTCCATCTCCATTGCTAATCTTTCTGTTGTTGCCGATCGTATACGCTCCAAAACGTCTTCTCAATTTCCCATCTGTCAGTTTCTCATTGAGTTGGTCAGTTGTTTCTACCAGGATGGATCGGCATAGTTACCCAAATTATCTACCCATTATTGCTATTTCAGTAGTCAGTTTTTTGTTCATTTTTCAAACACCAAAGGCATTTCTCAGGAAATATATGTTATCTCAGGGCTAGCGTTTCCTCTAATAGAGGATTCTCAGGCATTTTCCTAAATTTATCTGCCGTCATCGGTCTTCCTTGCGGTGTATTATTTAGTTCCTTTTTTTCGGTATCCACAATTTTTTACTAACTTCAACTGTTATTGTTACGTATTACTGCAATCCACATTTCTTCTGCGCTAACCATGTTCGCACAAAACTCAGGTAAATATCCCATAATCATTGTTTAAACTATGCCAAAGCTCATTTGATCATAATAAAATGTGTTATTCTTAACGATTTTTCGTGGGGACGTGGAGATTTGAGGTGCCTGCTGCCGGCCGAATTTGTGGCAACTCCTGTGGATGCACAACCGTCACCACGGTTCACGCATGACCGCTTCCCGTGTTTACTCACCCCGCAGACTCCCTGCTGAGCCACTTGGCCCCAATTAACTCCAATTGTCAGCCTGGGCTCTCCCCGCGTGTATCAACTAGTCCCGCCAAGCCTCAACGTTTGCACATCGGTTCCCGCCACGACACGACGCGCCAGACTTGTTGATCTAATGAACGATTTGAACTTCGTTGTGCTGTTCAACCTCGTACGCTTGGGATCGTATTGTGCCCCACGGGCAAATATCACTCGAAGGGCTTCTGTTTCACTTTTAAGACGACAGCGCTTCTATTCAGCCCTCCAAAGTCAAATCGGGGGTAGATTAAGTGCCCGAAAGGCGCCTTGTAATTGGCAGGTTACGTGCATCGAGACAATGCACTCCAGCAATCGTGCAGAGTCAGTTCAATGAGACTGGGGCCTGCGTTTCGCGAGGGTGCTGACGCCTGTTTTGTCCTCCCCCATTGCGCACACCCATGCCTCACACGTGACCTTCCGAATCAGGGGTCTCAAGCGTTCATATCGCCTTCGATAAACGCCACTTTATGCATGCCCCTCCTCAATTTCAACTGTGCCAGCTCACTCAAGTAGAGCGGATTTTATGAGAACTCATGCCTTTTGCTGGAAGACAGGTGTCAAGCTGTAGCATGCGGATCCGGACCTCATGACCTACGTGTTGGGCCTGCTCTCTCTCTCTGACCTTCGAAGTAATGTCACCCACTAGTAGCGTGGGAGGGTGTGCGCAGTCAACCTTTTCGACATTGTTACTACACTGGAAACTTAGTTCTTTGGAAAGGACAACGCCATTCGTTGTGACAAACCAAGACCAGGCTTGACCAGGGGCATTTCGTGCGACATAAAATGTCTAAAATTGCTCAACTGTTTAATTGCGGATACCTACAGTTTTAGGGAATGTAAATAGTGTCCAATCACAATTTAATGGGGATGAGTAGTTTTGGAATCTTTCTGCACAAGTCTTGTAGTACTTAGCTGAATTATGAATGTGAGTTATTATGGTTTCCTAATACTTTAATAACGCCGATTGTCCCTAATGTTCCGCCATCAGGAAGAGCTGTCCCGTGATTCAGATGCAAAACAAAGTTGGATTTTATTTGGTCCCTTGCAGTTGTATCAATTAATGCCGATATAAACTTAATACTTGCATGGCGGTGGTTCTATTCAGGTTTGATGAATCCGGGAGGAGAATTCTTGGTCTGCAGTGGTTTTTAATACTGAGACCTGGCACTTGATATTGTCAGCCTTTCAAAGAGGGTAAAAATACCTTTAATTATATCGAAGGCATTTTCATGAAGGGGTCTGTGTGGCCGCCTTTAAAATACACTCGAAGTCAAAATGATTACACGTTGGAATACCTTGAAGTTCAGTTCACAATTTTTTTACGGTGCTTCAGGCGACATTATCGTTTTGAAGACATTCTATGGTGTTTTGAATAATTCCATATATTGTCTTGTCAGTGAGGTGATGGATTGCATGACGAGCTTAGAGTATAGCAGAATAGATGCTGGATGCTTTGAGAGAGTAGCTAACACGAATATAACACTTGGTAAGGTTTGGTGTGACCGACCACCGCTAGGCAAGTCCTAGGTCCCAATTTCTAGATAAAATATATGGATGAACTTGAACCTATTGGAGTCGCGCTGTTGATATTCCTTATGGCGTGGTGGATTCTGCGGGTCAACTTTTACGAGGAAATCAAATGCTGAGTTGTTGAGAATCCTCCTTTGCTTTCTCTAATAAATTCCTATCCGATTGGGGAAGGTAATTGGTTCATAATGAAATCCGAGAGCTGAAATAGTCGCAATTTATGAACTTGGAATGGGACTTATATTTTGAAGAGTTTTTGGGAACTTCTTGTCCAGTAATCGCCTTCGGTGCACAAGCTTTGAAAACAGCGCCTTAACCAAACGAGCTGATCATTGCCATTGTCTGAGATTCAGCATTGGTGATAAACTGACGAATTATGTCAGTCCATCATGTTTAAACCAAATTGACAAATTAACCAAACCATCAGGGCCACGCGACAATTTGGCTTAATTAAAAACCAGCAAAAGGAAGAAGTATTTGTGGCCGCCAAAGTAAAACTGCTTTAGTTAAATTTGCTCGTGCTAAGAATCTAAAGCCAGCAGTTTCTTCTAGGTTATTTTGTGAGTGGACAAAAAGAGGACATTTTACCTCGAGGAAGGAATTGTGCAAAATGTGGAGAATTGACTTTGACATTACCCAAAATTTTTATTTCAATTAGTAGTAGTCTTTGTAACAGCCTAATAACTAAGTAGATGAACCCAACTTCAGTGCTGCTTTTAATCGTTAACTCAAATCGCTACCACGAACGACACCAAGCTCAACGCTTGAGTCGCCTAATTATGTCTTAATGAGCATATTCCCTTTTTAAACAGTATTCAATACCGTAGAGTGGTTTCCCACCAAACTGATGTCATTTAAAAATGCCGCTTTGTGTTCATTAGATTCGGTGGGTTTTTAGCTAAAAATTAAACTTCTAGAAAATTCCTGATGAATCACACATGGACAAGGTAACAAATGAGGTATTAGCAGTTGATGTCTTAATTCATTCGATTTTTAGAATAATGCTCATCAGGTTCCACTCATCTCATAAGGAATTGAACATATTCCGATGATTTTGCTGGCCGTTTCGATTTAGCGGGAGTTGTTACTAAAACATATTCTAAGAATCCCATATTAAAAAAGTTCATAAGTTTTAGACTGTTCAAGCTCAACTGCCTTCACGGATTGAACGCAGGTTCCAGCGATTTTCCGTCAAGCATTGGAAATCTTCATCTAGTGCTGAAGTAGTATATTTGTACTTAATGCACATAACAACTATGATTTCACAAAGCGCACACATGACAAGCCGTCTTGAGTGTCACTGATCGCACAAGACTGCCAAGCTACACCCCAAAAGATCCTGTTCAAGCCAATTGCCAGTATATAAAGGCAGGAGACAACGCCTATGTGTTCGCGCGTTTGCACACAAGGAGAGCATGAACCCGCTGTTTCTCTTGGTATTCCTTCTGGCTTTCACCGCACAGGCCAACGCCATACCCTCTGGCAGCGGCAACGTGGAATCCGAAGATGTCGACGACGACGTTGAGTTTGGTGCGTCTTCTTAATTCACCTGAGGCGATTTTTTTTAAGAATAAGAGTGGATATAATTTTTTGTAGACTTGAATTGTTTTGCCGATTTTTAGCCAAAGAAAAAATTAATGATTAATACTTCTTTAATCGAAACTAATTCCTGTACTCCGAAGATTGATGAGGATTGAAAGCGAAGCCTCGCAATCGCCATTCACCGCAGTTGTCTAAACAACTGCAAGGCATTATCAAAAAATGAACGTGAAAATATTAACCAAGCCTGGCTGCGAACTTATCATATCGCAATATGGATAATAAATAAGTTGCAACCCTCTCTATATGGTAGCAATGCTAAGATCAGTGCCACAACGTTCCTGGGGACTGAAAATTTGTCCTACATTCTTTCCGTGAAGCTACAAAATCCAAATTCTTTACACCTCTCAACGCATAATTGTCATGTCATTCAATATTTCAATTAAACTAATTTAGCCTGGTAGGATGTTTTCAATTCTCAGGCGAAATGAATTTCTGCCAACAAACTCGAAAAGAATTGATGACCACTTTAGCATACAACTTCTACACGAAATTCTGATATGATTTACACTAAAGTTGATTAACTGCGATAACTTCTGCTGTTGTGTACTTTAATACTCCTAAACATTCGGTTGCATTAGTTTGCTCACATGAATTCATATTTTTGCAGGTCTTGACGGTGAAACCTATGGCAGACCGATTCCAGAGTCCAGTACGTTAACCTATAGTAACATTAATACGGGAAAATTCGGTGATATTAATCAACGTTCTTATCCATTTTAGATGTAGAATCTGAGATGTATCACTCACTCCACTAGCCTTTCAAACCCTCCCAGTAAACATGACGCAACTTTTGTTATGCATCCTCGCTTTTAATACACTTATGCAATAAATGGCTTTTGCTGATTTGGCAATCCCAGGCACCGTGATAATCCTCAGACCTGGTAGCTGAAACCACTCAATGCGTGTTTTATAACATTCCTGTGGTTATGCAGGGCCTTTATCGTAGCAAAATAATGACTAGTTAGGATTTCATACAAATAAACTGCCAAAATTTGTTACTTTTGTGCAAGTTTAAACCATCTAGATTGACATACGAGTTAAGTGATTTGAGTTTAAATTTGTTGCGGTCAGTTGCCTTCATGTCAATGGTTTTATTGTACTTTGGGTGCATTAGCACAAGTCCTCAATCTGAATAGTTATTTTTCAACATTCAGTGTGACCCTAAGCCACATCCCCTGCATAGTATGGAGACTAGATCAGTTTTACTTAGTTGAGTTAAAACCACCATATCCGGACATACATAACGCGAGTTAGATCGGGTCGTCGTATTTCCTTACTCTGGAGAACAACGTGTTGACCTAAACTTACTCGAAGCACAGGATGAGTTTAGGACTGTGTAGCAGTTGCGTTGAGAGTTCCAGTAAAATGTCTTAGTTTCGTTAGCGATCTTAGTATTTTGCAACAATGCATTGCGAGTAAAAAAATTATGCACATGCCTCA